ACGGCACAAAAGTCTACCCTGTTTGAGAACATCACCTTGAAGAATACTCGTCCAAGAAAGTGTGATATAGGTGAGATATGCATTTAGCGGTGTACACTGTGCTCTTTTCTTCTCGCGGAGCCAATGCCACGCTTGGCCGAATCCATGCACAGACCACAGGCGTGTCAGAACACCCTCGCTGAGTTCTTAAATGGACCTTATTGTAACAACTTATAATACAAGAACATACAAGTGACATGTACACGTACCATCATCAATGTTGCTCCCGTCAACTTCAGGATACGCATTTATCGTGTCTGCTTCGCTCTGCCAGCGTCGACCACGAACTCCATTATGCACAGAGGACATCAACGGCTGGCGAGGGAGAAACATAGGCCCACCAAGGTTAGTTTCAGACATTCTGCGACGATTCCAAGAATGTTCCACCTGAAAGTTTGCAAGCAACGCTTTTTTGAGGTAGTGACAGGATTAGAGCAACATACATTTGCTAATTCTGAGAATTCAACGCTGTCCTCCATAGAAGGTGTTTCATACCCGCAGTTGGGCACTCGAGCCACGGCCATTTCAGCATACCCTTAAAAAAGCACGATATTCGAAATAAGAGCTACAATAGAATATCAACAGAATATAACTAGATTAGGAAATTGGAGAGCCAGGGGGAATGAGAGCAGTTTTGTGAGTGGGGAGGGGGTGTGAGCGTGACCTTGCCACCTTTCGTGCTGCAACAGTTTAAGATTCAATCTTGGTGCTACGCAGAGGAGCAAAATGATAGTGTCACAACACCGTCTACCCCCTCCCTCTAATTCACCCCACACCTCCCGAAGTTTCTAATCTCGAAGGCGTTAAGAGCGGTTATTTACTGCTTATTTCGAAGAATGTGAACAAATACAATAGCGCATTGCAGGGATTCCTCAAAATTATGGATGTATCAAAATTCAGAATACGTAGTTCATCATGAGCCTGCCTTTATCCTCAAGTTGCCACGTTATTTTTGCAAAATTTTTTACACGATACTATTAGTTTTGAAAGCACTGCGAAGTAATTTGGTGCCCTCACTTGAAAAGATACAGAAATACGCCAATACGCCATATTTTATTAAGAGCTTATCGCTTAATAATTGTTCAAAAACAATGGAGGCAGCTGCCATAAATCCATTCCCTCATGGAGAATACATTTCATTAGCA